AGCTCTGGGCCACATCTAAGTGGAGCTCTCAAAGGCCCTCCTCTTTTCCCAAGAGCTAGGTTTCTGACCTTGCCAGGCTGGGCCAGGTGTAGAGGGAACCCCCTGGTCCAGGGCACTGGGGTGATATGGCGGGCTGCTCAGAGTCTGTACTCACATCATGAAATCAGGACAGGGTAAGGGATGTGGCACTGGATGAAGACCCAGCCACAGCGGCAGCTTCAAGCAGCCACCTGCCTGGTTGAGATGGAAACGCTGATTCCAGCTCCAGCCCCCAGACAGGCTAAGAATATCTCAGCCAAGCAACAGCCACCACCCCCACCCTTCTAGATCTGCTCCTACATCTGTAGTGCTATCCTGGGCACCAGTGAGGAGACAAGTGGGGGGGATGCTTGGGGTGTGGGGTGAAGGGGAGAAGGCCAGAAAGGGGCCTGATGGATGCAGGAGAAGGTAAACTGAGAAACAATGGTGGGAGGGCTGGGAGGACTGGACAGGGAGGGCTGTTCTCAGGGGGCAGTAAAGAGGGGTGAAAGCAGGATCCAGGCAGCTAGGGAGGAAGATCAGAGATGAAGGTGGGAAGGGGCTGACATGGCTCCTTTTCCCATTAAGGAAGAAAGCAGGGCTCATATCAGGGAAAAGGAGCCTCCAGCCCACCTCTATCCTTTCTTTCTCTTCATCTTGAGCCCCCCCTCCACCATCTCAGAATTGGCCCCTTCTCTCCACCCCAGGGCATCACATCCCTCCTCTGTGCTCCCAGTCCTATTCTCTACCCTAAAAAACTTGTTGTTGGGCTCCTTAATTAAATCCTTCTAGCAAGGAGCCTGCAGTCAGGGAAAGAGGAGAGCATGGAGACATCTCCTTCCTGCAGCTAGCTGCACCTCCTGTTACCTGGGGAGGGGTTTTGCTCCCTTCCACTACCTCCCCAGCCCAACTTCCCTGAGTAAGGGAGAGGGATGTGGCTGGGCTGGTGCATATCCTCCCTCTTTGCACACCTCAGGCGCTGAGAGCCTGGGGCAGGGGTGTGAGAGACGTGAAGGATGGGGCGGGCAGGTTTCAGACATTCAGATGCACAAGCTGAGTCTTCATCCTGGAGTTTTTAAGAACCTGTGTTGCCGTTAGCCTCTTCATAGGACCGCCTTGTAGATGGGGGGGGGGGGGAGAAATGACATTTGGGTCTGGGATCTGTGGCCTTCACACTTACTGGAAAGACCCTGCACCTCCTTCTTCTTGGGCTCTTCTCTACCTCTCTGCCTTTGGAGGAGGCCCTCTAAAGCTGAAAGGAACCCAGGGAGGTTTACGTGGCTGGAGCCCAAACTCTCCTCTCTTTTGTCTCCCAGGCTGAACTGCAGAAATGCAGGCCTCACTAGGATGCTGTGCACACAAAGACTGAGCCCGTCAGACAGAAACAGATTAGGGAGGGCTAGAGCTAGAGAGTGAGACAGATTTGTAGGCCAGATTTGATTTAGAATCAAAACTAGAATTGGAAGAGATTTTAGAAATACTCTTTCGGTATAGTTTCTAAAACATTATTTTATTCTTTTAATATTCACTTTTATCTGATAATAAAAGTAAACTATGCAGAATCTCTGCACTTTAATATATGGAGAAACAGAGACTCAGAAAGCTGAAATGACTTCCCCAAGATCACACAACACCTAGCCATGGACTAGAACTTCTAGTTCCCGCCTCCTAGACTATTGCCCCTTAGAGAGAAAATAGGAACTGTCAAAGGGAAGAAAAGTCTGGGCTGCATTACCAGGAGAATTCCATTAAAGATGGGGTGCAATTGGGGTTGATTCTTATTACCAAGATCACAGTCTTGAATGGGCGAAAACCTCTGGGCCCTGCAGCTCTTGGTCTGAGCCTGCAGTTTTGCCTTGAAGAACCTTTGGGACAGGGCTTTTAAATTTTTTATTTTATTTTATTTTTGAGACAGGGTCTTTCTGTGCAGTTCAGGCTGGACTTGAATTCCCTATGTAGCCCAGGCTGGCCTCAAACTCATGGTAAGCCTTCTGCTTCAGCCTCCCAAGTATTGAGATTACAGGTGTGTGCCCCCCCCCATAGTGACATGTCATTTGGACAAAGTGCTCTTCTATGTAAACTGCAGAGTGATGGAGACAGACAGGCAGCCTAGTCTCAGGGGTTTCCTATCTAAGGGAGTCTGACAGAGCCAGCACTGTGCAGAGGAGCATATGGAAATGGCCAGAAGAGAAGCACTGTCCAGATGGGAATATAGATAAGTGAATCATAGAATACAGACCCTAACATACAGACCCTAACATAACCCAGCCAGAAAAGCACACCTGCAGATGTGGCTGTGAAGTCATTGCTGCTGGTTAAGCCCACCTGCTCCATGAAATCTTCTTGGTTTTACTACCTTTATTCGCCTCAGCTTCCACCCTGTAGAAACAAAACCCCTTTCCCTTTCATCCTTTGGTGCCTCCAACTTTTATATATAACAGCAAAGCTGTCACTCTTCATGGATCCGTTTTTTTTGTTTGTTTGTTTTTTGGTACCGGGGATTGAACTCGGGTCCTTGCGCTTGCGCAGCAGGCAGCGAAACCACTGAGCTAAATCCCCAGCCCATGGATCTGTTTTAATTAGATTGTCCTTTGAAGTTCTATCCTTGTTCATCTTGTACATCTGGGGCTGGGGTCCCAGAGCCTGCCCCTTAACTAAGTTGTTAGGCAATCCAGAAAGGCTTCCTGGAGGAAGTGGGATTTCAAGAGCTCAACAGAAGTAGAGTGGTGATCTGAGGGAAAGTTCTGGGCTGTTGTGGCACAGATATTGCAGAGCGATAGCCAGAGCATGAGGGAGGGGTACATGTGAGCCAGAAAGAGGGTCTGAGGCAGGGCAAAGTAAAAAGAGGGGGAATGAGACCCTCTGATGAGACACTTGATTTGGGGACCCTGAAGCAGAGGAAGAAATTCTTGATTCTGACCAAGAGGACAATGGGAGATCATAGCTGGGCCTGGGGTAGGGGCAGCACTGTGGTCATGTGTGTGGATCCTGTGGCGATCTTCCCCTAAATGACACCAGCAATAGGCTTTACGTCACTGAGGGACTCCTGAGAGCAGAGCAGAGCTGGGAGGATCCACGTGCTGTTCAGATCCACGTGCCCAGTGTTTCTGCCAGCCACTCAGTCTCTGTGGGGCCTGTCCTTAACTACCAGTGGAGCCAACTGTTCCTTGGGTGTCAAATAAAGGCTGACTCAGAAGGCCTTGTAGGAGGAAGTGGGGCCAATTACAGGAGCTGAGAAGAAGGAACATTCTCCTGCAACTGTGTGTGCGTTGGGGAGGGGGGGGGATAAGAGGTTCAGCAGGTCAGCTTGAGCTGCAAGAGAAAAAAAATCAGATGCACGGAAGCTGGAGAGAGCCTGTTAAGACCTCCCAAGGGAAAAGTACAAGTCTGTGTGTGATCCTAACCATGGTTAAGGTGCAGGGAATCAGGACAACTAGGCCACAGGCCTTTAGGAAGGTGTGAGTGAGCAGGGGCTGTGAGATTGCTGAGAAAAGCTGGGGCTTCTGGTGGCTAGAGCTGCAGCCTGAGGGGACTCTGGAACAGCCTATCTGGAATGAAACTCACACACACACACACACACACACACACACACACACAAATATATGCACTCACAGGCTCTGACAGAATTGGTGGACTTTTGGGGCTGTATTGGGTCTATGAGGAGCAGGGAGGCAACCAGAGACAATTCTAAGGAATTTACTGAACTCATAGCCACAGCCTCCTCTCCCCATATTCCTGTCCAAAGTCCACTTAAGAAACAAAGACTCTTGTGTTGGAAGCTACAGAGAGCAGGAAGGGACACTGTCTACTGGGCATACAGAACAGGCCCAGAACTATCCACAAGCCAGGACTGAGGAGGAGAATAGACAGACCCAGAGAGACACAGGTAGGGTGCAGGCTAAAAAAAAGCTCATGGCTGGGGTTGGGGACGGTTGGGACCCAACAGGAGGAAGCATTTCATAATGAAAACTCACCTTAACCTGGACCAAGGACTGGACTAGAGGTTGGCGCAACCTCGTAGGCCTTTTTCCACAGAGAAGACCCCAACCACTGTCCAAACCTGGGGAGATCAACTGAAACAGTTTCCAGTGTTTCCCCGAAACCAATCACGGTTCCTGAGTATGAGGTCAGTGTGTTGGTGGGGAATAACAAACCAAGAGGAGCTGCCCAGGGACCAGAGCCACAGCTCAGCTGCAGAGAATCAGGCTGGCAAACAGGGGCATCCGGGACAAATCCTGAGGGTCTGGTCCTCTCCTGCCCGTCTTCGTCTTCGCTAAGCAAAGACGCTGCAGGAAAGCAAAAGACCTGCAGGAAGTCTCAGCTGCCACCTTCCTCCCTCAATGAGAAGAGCAAGAATGTGCCTGCTGCCCCCTTCCCAGTGGCCTAGGGGTGGGGGTGCGCCGGCGAGGAGGAAACCCATCGTGTGGTCACATTGGAGGAGCCGGTACAGGGCGACCCAGCTGGGCCCCGGGCGTCTGGATGAGGGCATTCTTTGCATGCGGCATCCCCTGTACACACACCCAAAGATGGGGCGGAGGAAGGGAAGCCTGTTCCCTTCTACGGCGACCCAATGCGTTAAAGCAAGCTAACGCACGGCCCTAGGACCTGGAGGAGGTGGGAGCAGCCGTTCTTCCTCACCTTCCCATCTCTGACCCTGGGAGACCCTCAAACGACAGCCCCCTCCTACCACTTTTCCACTTTCCCCCTTGGGTGAAGGGAAAGGACCCAGGACAGAGGGTGGGATATAAGGCGGGACTTGAGATTGGCATGCGAGAGGCTATTGGTCAGAAGAGCTGTCGGTCAGGAGAGCAACTCGGGCGAGGATTGGCTGTAAGAGGCGGGGCGCGGCTGGGGGAAAGAAGGGGCTCAAGGGGTGGGGCTGACGCTGCAGCTGGCGCAGCTCAGACTCGGAGCCGCCGCCGCGGAGGAGCCGAACAGCTCCTTCCCCCGCCTGTCCCCGCGCCCGGGCCGGGGCTAGGCCCCCCACGCCGGGTCCCCCGGGGCTGCAGCAGCAGCAGCGGCGCCGCCCGTGGTTCCCGCCGGGGCCCGGGCAGCGGCCCCGCTCTGCAGGATGGGCACGGTGCTGTCGCTGTCCCCTGCCTCCTCGGCCAAGGGCCGGAGGCCCGGCGGGCTGCCGGAGGAGAAGAAGAAGGCGCCGCCCGCGGGGGACGAGGCGCTGGGGGGCTACGGGGCGCAGCCAGCGGGCAAGGGCAGCAAAGGCGAGAGCCGGCTCAAGCGGCCGTCCGTGCTCATCTCCGCGCTCACCTGGAAGCGCCTGGTGGCGGCGTCCGCCAAGAAGAAAAAAGGCAGCAAGAAGGTGACGCCCAAGCCGGCGTCCACCGGCCCCGACCCTCTGGTCCAGCAGCGCAACCGCGAGAACCTTCTCCGCAAGGGCCGCGATCCCCCGGACGGCGGCGGCGCGGCCAAGCCCCTGGCGGTGCCGGTGCCCACCGTGCCCGCGGCCGCCGCCACCTGCGAGCCTCCGGCCGGGGGCAGCGCCGCCGCCCCACCGCCCGACTCCGGAGGGGGGAAGCCGCCGCCGCCGCCGCCTGCCGCCCCGCAGGCGGCGCCGCCCGTGCCCGGCGGGTCGCCGCGCCGGGTCATTGTGCAGGCGTCCACCGGCGAGCTGCTCCGCTGCCTGGGCGACTTCGTGTGCCGACGCTGCTACCGCCTCAAGGAGCTGAGCCCCGGCGAGCTGGTGGGCTGGTTCCGCGGCGTGGACCGCTCGCTGCTGCTGCAGGGCTGGCAAGACCAGGCCTTCATCACGCCCGCCAACCTGGTGTTCGTGTACCTGCTGTGCCGCGAGTCGCTGCGGGGGGACGAGCTGGCGTCGGCGGCCGAGCTGCAGGCCGCCTTCCTCACCTGCCTCTACCTCGCCTATTCCTACATGGGCAACGAGATCTCCTACCCACTCAAACCCTTCCTCGTGGAGCCCGACAAGGAGCGCTTCTGGCAGCGCTGCCTGCGCCTCATCCAGCGGCTCAGCCCGCAGATGCTGCAGCTCAACGCCGACCCCCACTTCTTCACGCAAGTCTTTCAAGACCTCAAGAACGAGGGCGAGGCCGCCGCCGCCGGCTCCGGGGGTCCACCCAGCGGGGGCGCGCCCGCCGCCTCCGCCTCGGCCGCCAGGGACAGCTGCGCGGCCGGGGCCAAGCACTGGACTATGAACCTGGACCGCTAGGGATACCCGGGGGGCGCGCCCGCCCCCTGCCCCCGCCCCCGGCGCACAGTCGGAACCTCCCGGGACCATCAAGCCGCCGTCGCCGCTGTTACCGCCGCTCCGAGCCCGGGCCGGGCCGAGGAGGAGCGGCCCCTGCCCCGCCGGGGGAGATGGAGGCCAGAACGCTAGAGGAGGCCGTGGTGTTCGGATTTGCGGGGCGCGGGGTGGGGACGGGGGCGAGTGCGGGAAGGGCACCCCCGACTTCACCCTTTCCGTCCGTCTAGTCCCCACCCCTCCATTTCCGCCCGGGTCTCCCCCTCCCCTGCTGTGCCTGTCTGTAGTCCACCTCCCTGGGTTTGTCCATTTCCTCACCTCCTCGCTGCACCTTCATCCTTCCTGGTGTCTGCACCTCTCCCTCTGCTTTTCCATTTGCCTCACTGTACCCCGTTTCTCCTTCTGCACCTGTGCCCCATCTCCCCTTTCACTCTGTCTCCCGTCTCCTACCATGTGTCACCATCCTCCCTCCCCTCTGCCTTCTCCCTCCGCGAGTGTCATCCTGTATTTCTTCCCTTGCCTGAGTCCCCGTACGCCCCTCTCCAGATCAGTGGGACCGTTAGTTTTTAATTCGGATCGACTAAGGTGCGACCGGAAACTGCAGTCCCAGGCGCCAGACAACCACCGGGATGGTCCCTCGCCCCACCCCACTGCTCCTCCTCACCTCTTCTAACGTGTTGCATGCCGGGAGTTGGGGAGGGAAGGGGCTGCCGGCTACATCCAGGAGGCTGAGATTCGGGGGGCAGAATCAATCTGGGAGACTACCCCGGCCGCGGCGGCGCTTCAGTGGACGGGTGGGAAGAGAAAGAAAACTCTTTTATTCTGGGGGAGAGGCGTCTCTCTTCCTTATCCTTAAGTTCTTGTTACTCCCCCACCTCTTTTAATTTATTTCGCTGTTTCCGGAGGGAGGGGGGGGGTTGGGTCGGGAACTGTCCGAGGTGCTGAGCTGGAGCGGGACCAGTATCCTCCCGGGAAAGTACCAGGGACTGGGTTGGGCCTGGGGCCGTGTCCAAGGTGCCAATGATGCGGGCCGACGGCGCGGGCCGCACTGTCTGTCTGTCCGTCTGTCCCGAAGAACTATAAAGCGCTGGAAGCGCCTGCAGATGGTTTTGCGCCGGCCTTTCTTTGGGCCCTGGGGAGGGTGGGAAGGGGAAACAGCATGAAACTGTCCCCAGTAGGGCAGTTGGGGAAGAGACAGAGGTCTAGGTGAGGATAGTCAAGATCCTGACAGCAGCTACCTGCTACCCATTTCCTGATCGGCTTCCATTTTACAAAGAGCAAAATGAGTAACCAAGGGCTGAGATTGAACAACTCCCTCATTCCAGCCCCTCGCTTGTCTGACCTAGCTCCTCATTAATACCCAGTTCACTTAGGAAGCATAGCAGAAATCGTTCCCCTTCTATGAGGTGACCCGTTGAGAAAGAATTAGCTAGTCACTATTGCTGCTATTCTCTTCCTCCCATCTCTCCGTACCATATCAAGTCTAGGGTCCAGCTAGGCCTGACTAAGTGTGTTCACCACCCTCAGGCAAGGCCTGACTGCCACACTCAGCTCCTGCATGTACCCAGCTGTCACCACTCCTGGGCTACTTGGAGACTGCCTAGGTCACATACATACCTAGGGTAGTCTTGGGAGGCCCTTCCCTGCTTGAAACTCAGACCCTGGCCCTTTATGACCAAGGAGGCCCAGACACGGGCAGAGAGGAAAGGGCGAGATGGAAAACCACGCTTGGGACGGAAAGAGGAGACCCTTGCTTGGTCCCCATTGCCTTCTTAGCTACATATCTAAGCGCCTCATTCACTGTTCCACAGGCCCAAAGTGGCCTCCCTTCAGCAGAGCGCTCGCGGGTCCCACCCTCGTTTCCACTGTGGCCAAGAGGATCCAGAGAGAATTGGGTGGGGCGGGTGGCAAAGACAAGGCCTCGGGCTCGCTGTCCATGGTGCTGACGACCGCGTTTGGGCAGGGTGGGGGTTTATACGGGCAGGAAGAGTTGGGGGCATGGGCTCAACAAGGTCTTCTGGATAATTTCAGAATATGGTGTGAGCTATTTTGACTGCGAGTTACAGAAGTCTGGCCCAAGCACCCAGGAATTTCTCTACCCACATGCCCTCCTGAGAGGCAGGATTCGGTTCTCACTCAGCCTGGGCCCAGAGCCTTGGCTCCTGGTCCCGGAGGCGGAAATTCCCAGTCCAGATTTGTGAATCGAGTTTCCGAGGGGGAGGGGGACAGCTAGCGGAAGGGAAGGCGGGAGCAGTCGCCCATTGGCTGGAATTTGGCGCAGTCAGCGCGGTGCCGTCATCTCTCTGGGTTTGAAAGGGGGAGGGAGGATCACTTGGGTCACTCCGCGGCTGTCGCCATAGCAACCAGACTGAGCGGGCGGGCGGGGCCGCTTCTCCACTCTCTCCCCCCTTCCTGGGGAAACAATCCTGGTTCGCCTTATTTGGGACTAGTTAGCGACATTGGCTACTTGATTCAAGTTTCTGAGTTAGAGAAGACTAAAGGGCGTGGAAAGAGACCGGAGACACTACAGAGATCCCAGAACATCTGGATCCTGCCCCCAAACCCATAGATAGAGCACCCTCCCATTCCTACACTCTTTCTCAGGAACCTGTGGTCTGACACTGGAGACTTAAAATGGGGGGAAATAACCCTCTGAGTGGTGTTGAGTTAAATCCCACTTTCCTTGCCAGGCCCCAAAGCACGAGACACTGCTCTAATCCGATTAGGTAGGGAGGGACTGGTGGAGGATCAGCAAGCATACATGGAAGAATTAGCCTCCTAGGTCATACTTGGTCAGTCCTGTTTTCTCCAAGAGGAAGACAGAAGGGCCTGGAATGGTCTTCTAAGAATGTAGAGGGAGAGGAGTAAGTGCAGAAGCAAAGTAAGGTGTGTTCCCTTTACTGCCCAGGAGTGAGCCTGGGGGAGATGGTGAGATGAAATGGGCCCTGAGCTCTAGAGAGAGCCCAGCGAGGTAGAGGGGTAGACTGAGGAAAGAATGGAGATGAAGGGAGGGTAGGAGACAGAAACCCAGCTGTGCCATGACTCAGCCCTTCCCCTGGCAAATGTCCCAGGCCACAGTTCCAGCACAGGGGCAAAAAGAGGGAAGGGGAGGAGAGCAGGAAAACAAGTGGGTGGGGAGCCAGTGATCTGCCTCTTTGCATGATACACACCCATACATGCACTGACATATAACCAAAGGGACACATTTTCGCCCAGAAAGAGGCACACAAGCATTTATACTGATGACGGTTCATTCAATCATAATATATACAAATCTTCATTCCGCTCTTTCCTGTCCCTCTTCCTGGAGCAGAGGACATTCTGTCCTGAGAACTGTGCTCTTCTGTCCCTGGAATACCTTGGTTCTTATTGGAAAAGAAGAAATGCAAAAAACTCACAGACATGGGGAGGGTTGTCATGGTAACTGCTTTGCCTACCAGGCAGGGTGAGCAGCAACTGGATGGAGCATCTGACAGTATCCAGGAGGACAACCTATGGCCTCTGCCACTGGCCCATGCCTTAGGCACCCAGTGGGCACCTCTGGATGATTTCTACAACTGAGCCTGCAAAAGCAAGCCCTCCAGTCAGGCCACCATGACCAAGAACAGCTGGGAGCCAGGTATAAGGGATCTGACCTTCTGCATGTACCCTCCCCTGGCCTTTTAAGTGGTATTCTGATCCCCTTATAAATCTTAGACAACATTTGCTATGAGTGGCCTCAAGACAGCAGGACTTCAAGACTTTTATTTAAGACCATGACCTTTCCTTTCAATACCTTTCCATACATTCTACAAAGAAAGTTATCTACACCCACACAGGAAAGGAGTGTAGATTACAAGCAGAAAAATTGTTTAGATCAGTGTGATGAAAGATTGGGTACAAGGTAGATAAACTGCAGAGCAACAATCTCAGGACTCAAGTTACGTAATTTTCTTTGACATAAGCCCATAAAAATTTTTTTTGAACCAGGGTCTTGCTATGTAGTTTAGGTTGGCCTTGAACTCACTATGTAACCAAGGTTGGTGATTCTTCTAACTCAGCCTTCCAAGTGATGAGAATACAGGTTCGTGCCACCATGTCTGGCTGCCCATAAATCTTAAAATTAGCTCCTGTATGTATCTCTTTCTTTCTTTCTTTCTTTCTTTCTTTGGTGCTAGGGATTGAACACAGGGCCTTTATTTTTTTATTTTTTTGGTACTGGGGATCGAACTCAGGACCTTGTGCTTTCGAGGCAGGCGCTGGAACCACTTAGCTAAATCCCTGGCCCCTAGGACCTTTATTTTTAAGAGCATGCACACTGAGCTACATCCTAGGCCATCTGTATATATATACACTTTTTTTTTTTTGGTACTGGGGATCGAACTTAGGACCTTCCGCTTGCAAGGCAAGTGGCAGAACCATTGAGCTAAATCCCCGGCCCCCCATCTGTATATTTTTATCTGACAACCTAAAAGGAAAGAGGGATAATGATGAACAGTATAAACATGGAAATTAAAATTTCTTTACATTACAAATTTTCTACATGCTATTCCTTAAAACAATAAAGTAGTGGCTCAGTGGTGTGCACTTATATTCCCAGCCACTTGGGAGGTTGAGGAAGGACAATCAACTGAGCCCACGAGTTCAAGAGCAGCCTAGGCAACATACTGAGACCTCATCTCAAAAACATGCAAGCAAAAAAATTTATATATTATCCCAGAAAAACACAGAATACCATAAAAAGCCTAAGAAAGAAGAGTCAGTGATAGAGATCCCACCCACTTAGATACTAAATGTATCAAGGGCTAAGGTAGCTAAAATACATGGCACTGATACAGGAATAGATATATAAGTAGAACAGAGTAGATAATCCAAAGCTTAATTCTGGCATATATGGGAATTTAATATAGGACAAAGGCACCATTTGAAATTAATTGAGAAAAAATAGTCAGTAAATGATTTTGGTACAACTGGGAAGTCTTTTACCTGAAGGAAAAAAGATCAGCCTCCTCTCATTCTTTACCTTAAAATAAGTTCAAAGATGAAAGATTTAAATAAAAAAGAAAAAG